CCCAAACCCCAAACCCCAAACCCCAAACCCCAAACCCCAAACCCCGGCTACTTAGCGTTAGGTTACAGGCAACTCAGTTAGGTTAGAGCGGAGGTGTCGTTTGTTGTCTACCTCAGATGGATGGAGGGCCGTTGGGTGTAAAGTAGCATGGGTTCATTCCTCCGTGAGGTCTTCAGTTTTGATCCTGAATGTGGGCGAGGTGGTAATAACCTCTTTTTGGTCCTTGGCAGCGAGTTCTCATCTGCATTCTCCAGGTATCCGACAGGATATGGTTGGTGAAGAGAGGCTTGTGTTGAAGGCGATATTTGGGGTGTTCTCGGCTCAACCATCAATCTGTCATCCTTACGGACTCGGAATGGTGCAATTTCTTGACTCCATTCTGGAGTAGTAAGCTTTTTAGTCGGATTCTTGACAGCATCATAAACTTGGGTGATGAGCAAGGTCTTCTGTTGCTGGGGGATTGTTCTGATCAACAGAGCCAGGTATCTCAGTATGGTAAAATAGAAACACACAGCCAACTCGAGTACCCGGAAGTAGGAAGTAGGAACAATCGTGGCAAAGAAGTTAGGACCAGCCTGTAAACCGGAGATGGCCAATTTTGCTAGACAGCCGACCAGAATAGTAGCAAAAGCCTCGAAGATAGACACATCGCCTGCGTTTGGCAGGAGCACCGTCAAGATGAGGATGGTGACGACTTGCATGCAGAAGACCAAGAAGTAGACGAAGAAGTCGAGCTTGCTTGCGATGAATTCTATCTTGGACATCTCTTGTGCATCTTCCGACGCAGTAGTGTCGGCCTCCATAGTTTGGACTTCCTTCTCCAGCTGTTTGATCTCTTGCTGAACGGTCTTCTTCTCTTGTTGTGTTTGCTTGCCAGCCTGAGCAGAAAGTTCTTTCAGCAGCTTGATACACTCTTTGCCTTGTTCGAGCACAGCTTTGTGTGTCTGTTTGGTCTGCCTGAGGATCTCTTGAATGTTCACCGCTGTCTTGGAGCATTCTTTCAGCGAGGAAGCAAACTTGCGTTTCTCTCTGCGCATCAGGTGCACCGAACAGTACAACCCGAGCTGCGATGAGACACTCATCAGGATTCTGCGCTGGTAGTCTTTCAGTGAACCCAAACAGGCAGAGTCCCCAGGCATGCAGCGAATCTCTTCTTTGGCGGGGTGCTTGATCTGATTTTTGAGGTAGCAGTTGGCGATGGCGATAGCTACCTCAGTGACCTCAAGAGTGGCTGCATTTCGGTTACAAGCTCTGAGACCATCAGTGTGCATGAAAGCTAGGTCCATGCAGTTTGGTGCCCAAAGTTGCTCTATGTGAGAGGATTTCTTGGCAAGGAGGAGTGCACGAGCATTTGCTGAGTGTAAATCATTTTGAGAGTCTGAATCAAGAGTGGCTAAGCCTGTGTCTTCGAATGCAAAGCCTTCTGAGTGAGAGTATTTAGACTGAAGAAGAACGAGGATAAGGATGATGGGGAAAGCAGAATGAACCGTGGTCATTTTCGTGGAGAAAAATTTGAATTATTTGAATTCTGCCGCCCCAATAATATAGGCAGTGACTGTATTTAGTCAGAAATTTACCGAGGCCTATCACTCACTCTGGGGTTTGGGGTTTGGGGTTTGGGGTTTGGGGTTTGGGGTTTGGG